TCACCCCGAAAAACCGACATTCATGGGAAATCCCCTATATTCCCAACCTATGCATCTAAAAGCCCCAGGTTGTAGAATTGGTCAGACATAGTGTATGACGAGGGGAGTGTCCTATATTCGGCGTATACTGCATGTCCAGTATGTAGATCCCTATAACCTATAGTGGGAAAAGTCCCCGATACCTCTCGAGTGAATCTAATATGTTTAAAGCTCAGGTCGGAAGGTGCCGAATCGAACGACTCTTTCGAGGGCCTGCGAAGGAAGGCTCGAGTCCGAGCGCTTACGGATCAGGAAAAGGAACGCATCGCAGCCTGTGAGAGACCCGGTGACATGCCCTACGAAGAGCGGAAGCGACAGCTGGCAGCCCTTGATCGAAGGGTCAAAGGCGATCCAGACAGCCTACCACCAGGACTCTTAGCGATGTACAATGATGCATACGGAAGCTCTACGAAGAAGTTCGAGCTGATGTCGTGGCCCCGGCCCATTGTATCTATTGTGTAGCTGCATTGGTTCGTTTAATCCCACAAGTCGACCCGGCATAAATTCAAGGAAACACTTCATGCTGGACCCCTCCTTCCAAAGCATGACCGTGGAAGCCAAATTTATCGAGGAACACAGCAAGGACTGCATTTATGAACCGAATTTCTTCCTATGCCACCTTAAAAGAACTCTTAATTTCTGCCAGGGCAAGGAGGGTGTCTACGAAGAGCTCCCGCTCTTCGAGCTGGAAAAGATCTACTGCACTGAGGAGCAAGCCAAGTGGCTGCAGGAGAAGATCGTGAACTGTCTGGTCCTTAGAAAGCAATCGATCGATCCAGCTGGACTCGCAATGTGCACTTGGCCATATTGAGGTCAGGAAGGAAAAGAACACCCCCAGGACGCAACAGCTTCTTCTTGTGCCCTCCTGTTTCTGATGTGCTTGGGTCGCTGTCAATGCAAATAAGGATTGCTTCGTGGCTTCGTCTTTGTTATTAGATTAGGCTTTCTAGAAAAAGGCCACCGAGGCTATGTAACCCTAAACCCTAAACCCTAAACCCTTACCCCTTAACCCTTAACCTTAAACCCTTAACCCTAGACCTACGGTATAAACTCAAACTTGAAAGACTTTCTCCCCTCGAAATCTCTTCCCACCCTCCAAGACTATAAGCCCAAATTTGTAAAACCCAAACTACATATTCGTACTATCAGCCCTTACAGGACCCTGCGAATCCAAGGGCCCGGATCTACAAGCACTACAAGAAGGGGGTCGAGAAGACCAAGACCTTGCAAAAGATTGGAACCGAGGCCAAGAGCAAGGCCGACATCGGCGACGGCCAAGCCGGGCTTGCAGCCAGGCAGCTTCTCTCGGAGAGCTTGGTGGCTGCCGGTGCCTCTTTCGATGACTCCTGGGCCGACAGCAAGAGCGCCAAGGGGAAAGGCAAGGGCAAGCGAAAAGGCGAAGGGAAGGGCCCCAAGCAGGCCAGATGGAGAAGCCTGTTTATTGAAGCCTTACATAGCCCAAACCCTAAACTTAAACCTTAAGCCCTATGTACACCCTGAAGCCTAAACCTCTAGATTCTTGTGCAAGCTAAAGTCACGAAGGTCTCAGAGGAAGAGCAGACAAGAAAAGAATTGAAAAAGGATATAGATGCTATTTCTGCTTTGCTGAGCTCCTGCCGAGCCGCCTCTATGTCTTTGAGTACCCTACCGCACAATTCCGAGCTGTTGAAGCTGCTGAAAGAGGGTATGGTCAAGACAAAGGGCCATCAAGAACACATCGAGACTTTGATCTTTAGCGGGAAGCGACTCGCCAAAATTCAGCTGAATATCCAAATACGCCTTAATGAAGCTGGAACTAGATCATATATTCGAGGTCGGCGCAAGAGGTGGGCGAGTACATCACCGAGAACAAGGGTGATTTTGAGGCCTGGTCTCCAAATCGAATCACCGTCGACTGAACTTGTTCCTTTGGGGCAAACCAATCTTACGAGCCAGGCCTGCCAGCGCGACGTGGACCACGCCCAGAGCATTTTGGAGACTGTTCGCCGAAGCCCGGTTCCTGGGATATCGGTGCAGTGCAGCAGCAGTCTTGATGCATATGAAGCTAAATCGATCCTTGCACGCCAGAAGAAGAAAAAGTGAAGCGAGACGCAGAGAAGGCTATCAAGAAGCAGCAAGAAAAGGAAAGGAAGGAGGAGGAAGAAGCCTCGAAGCGGCAGGCTTGGCAAGACCTCGAGGCACAGGAGACGACGAAACGACGTCGCACCACAAAAGGGCCTGCGAACTGAGGTGTGCACGAGCCTTCTAGTGCACGTGCATATCTCGCTACGGGGATCTTTTAGCTCCTATCCTAGATTCGCTAGATCTCGCAAAATGCTGCACCTCACGAGGCCCTCGTCTTAGACCGAAGTTTGACAATCTTGGATTTGTGGATCGGCACGATAATCGTGCCTCGTCCATGCAAATGTGATTGCCCCGCAATCGTTCACCTTAACGGATGAACCGACCCTTGCCACAATATGGGTGATTATCCAACATATATATCACCGATATATCGTGCATACAATTTGGTACCATGCCCGGTGTGATGTGATGATTCACGGCTGCGCAGCAAGGGTCCATAAGTCCATGGGGTCAGTGTGTTGTGCTACAGCCCGTTTGCAGGCGAACTGTCCTTGTATAAGCGGCTAGGTACACAAGCTAGAATTCGGCATGTTCGATATGATGTGTTCTGCAAAAGTGCTGTATGCTTTCGACCAGCTGCGCCGGGGTGNNGTGCCGCATCTTGGAATCGCCTGGGGTGCTGAATGCATCCAGACATACAGCTCGCAATTACAACATATGCTGCCAGTTGGAACCAACGGCGGCCGTGGATGGTGTGATGCGAGATCTCTTCAAGATGATCGGTGAGGGTCAGGCTGCAATCGTCGTGCGATCTAGATCTATTGGTCTATTAGTGGTTACATGTAGAACTGGTACAGGTTGACATCAGGAAATTCCGAGACATAGTATGCCAGAGCCCCAGGAAGTCTTCGGTTGTATAGCGGTGGATTGTTTTCTCAGATTTTGCCGGGTGTCAATTAAGGTCGACTGGAAAACCTTCCGGCGCAGCTCGTCCCGTTGCGACCTCGGCTCGAAGCAGATGCAAATTCTAGAAAAGGGGCTTTGTCAAAAGAATGCCAGGAGTGAAATCCTCGACCTGGCCGTTAGCTTCCGCGGATCCCAGACTTCGTGGGGCTTTGATCGTGTGCTGACGAGATGGTCCGTTCGACAGAAGTGGCGGCAAGCTTTGCCGTTGCCCTATGTGATCGAACTTCCATGTGTCAGCATCTCACTTACTTGAATGCTGTAGCAAATATGTGCCGATGAATGTGACCTAGTCTGTGTATAAGGCTCACACTGACCGGATGGGCAAGGAACGTTCAACTTTGAAGCATGCTGTTCTACTGCCGCACGAAATAGTTGGGGCGATCTACGACTTCGGATCTGGCTACTTCGAGCGTTTGCTCACGGGTGGGGACGAGGTACCATGGAGAAAGAATAATCTGCCTGGGGCCGTATCAATTCTCAAACCGTGGTACTAATTCGTGAACCTCCCAACCTAAACCCCAATTATCCCCAAAACAACACAAATTCATCCGATAGCTCATCCGTAGCCTAATCGACCCGAACCTTGCAAAGCCCAGCCAACAAGGCGCTTGCCGAGCATTGGCGATGCGAGCGCAGCATAGATCCTGCTTTCGTGGCCGAGATCGAGCGAAAAGGGCTAGATCCGAAACTATGTATTCCTTTGAGAATCTACGGGGACGGTGCTACAGCCCACCGAATCTTGTTCGAACCCAGAAGTAGTTTGATCGAGCGGGGTATATGACGTGCTTCTGTTTGTTCATGGGCTCTTAAGGGGAGCTCTTGATCTCAGTTTACCACCAACAATTGACATCAACTTCGAGCCTTTATCTGATCTGTAAGGCCATTCATCTTTCGAGATATTTGCACTGTCGCCACCATTGGCCCCTGCTTCCACCCTTTACAGCAGGATACTGGTGAGCTGCGGAAACTCTACGATGTGCGATGATGAATGTCGTCACGGAATCATGCAGGTGATTGCTTGGAGCTTCGGTCATCTATGTTCCACAGCATAGAAATTGGAGGCTGTCAAGCGGATGCAAACACAAACTACATAGTATTGTTATGCCAACGGTATATATGATCTCAAAGTGATTCTCAAGATCTGAGGCTCCGGTACTTATCCGGCCACCGACCACACAGGTCAACCTTTGGATCGTAAGCGAGCCTCAAGGGCAGGCCAGCGCATCGCCGGGCCTTACACCGCGATCCTGGATGGCTTGGAAGGGGATCAAGACTTCATGAGGTTGGTTTTCAAGCTGACACGTGGGGTGCTTAGGATCCGGATGCATCATCGCTGACACATCAATATTTGATGCTTACCCCGCTTGAAAGTCAAGCTTTCGAGCTAAGGCACCGCATCCTCCAGACAAGTATGCTACTACTGCAGGGTTCTGGGGCGGCAGTATATAGGGGTCTTATCTATGTGTAGCTTTATGTCTAGAAAACCTAACAGCGCAAGTCCCGACTCCCATGAGTTATCGGTCCTTCAGGCAATCGCCTACCTCAGCACGGCTGAAGATGCCGATGAGGAAGACAAGGATCCTGAGATGCTGTTCAGTGTTTTTGGTCGGAATGCGAAGCACAGAGCCACGACACATAGCTGCAAGCAGTGCTGCAATGGTGGTTTGTTGTGAAGAATGTATGACGCACGAGTGGATCAGGCTCACAAGCCTCGACGAGTTCGTGGCTGCACATGGCTGCACCCCGATTACCACAATCCCATTCTTCAGCAACCGCCGTGTCTTGCAGCAATCGAGCGGCTTTGAAGGTTGATGTCTACGTGATGCTTTATAAAATTTGCATTTGATTTGAGGTATTTTTCCGGATCCCATGCATATCATTGACTTGGCCACGATCCCCGATTTGGCCATTGCCTTGTTACTCGACTGGACGGATACAAACCGCCTGATCGACCTTCCGAGCCGTCCTGCGAGGCTGGAGTGGCTTGGCCGGGCTTACAGGGATTGGGTCGGGAATGATTCGGATAGAGTGTCTGCCAAATTTTTCACCACAGAAGTTCTGAAGCCGGGTGGAACTTCCTACGCATCAGTTTCGCAGCATTATATATCCGCCGCATCAGCCCGTGGGTTGCTCATTTTCCTGGAGAAAATGGCACGGCAGTTTGCCGAAGAGCACGGCACCGAGGATGATTTGTAGCTCGGTCAAATTTGGTTCTTATCTTTATACTGAGCTCTCAGGAACAGAAAACATCATTTTCAAAGCTTGCAAATATTTCAGCATATTTCAACCAAATCTAAATGCATCAACGTTGATTGGTGTAATATCGAGGCTGCGTGCTGGGCTTTGTGGTGGTCTACAGCAGCTACAGCATATCATGCTCAGCAATGGGAGGTTGCTGGATGAGGCAAGCAAGGTGAGCTGCGAGCACTACTACACATTGTTCAGAGCTGCGCTAAACAATCTCGCTGTGCAGGCCGAAGAGAGCAAGCAACTGAGGTATCATCTACGCCCCAAGCTTCACCACCTAGAACACCTAGTTCTAGATCACTGTCGACAGGGTCGCAATTACCGGTACACTTCGTGCTATCTAGGAGAGGACATGGTCCGTCTCATGAAGAGGATCGCCCTGAAATTGCACCCGCTGGTTTGTGGCACTCGGGCGATAGATCACTACACCCTTCACGTGTGCCTTAAATGGGCTGGGCTCTTGGATGAG